CAGCTGGTCTCCTCCCTCTGAGCCTCGGCAGAGCCAGCAGCCTCTTCCCCTTTACTAGTGGGTGGAGCCTGGCCTGTTGGGCCCCCTGGGGCTATGCTGTCCGGCTGGGCCAAAGCCGGCTCAGGGGTGGCACTGTTTTGGCTGGTGGGCACAGTGCTCTCTTCCGTGGCTGGTGTGGCTCTCCCATCAGTGGCTGGAGTAGCGCTCCTGTCAGTGGCTGGGGTGACGCTCCCATCGGTGGCTGGGGTCATGCTCCCATCGGTGGCTGGGGTGACACTCCCATCTGTGGCTGGGGTGACACTGCCATCTGTGGCTGGGGTGGCACTACGGTCTGCAGGGACTACACTATCACTCTTTGCAGCAAGAGCAGCATCACCTGCTGTGGCTGAAGTGGCACTGCCCCCAAGAGCTGGGGCAGCTCCACTTGCAGCTGTGGCCCCGCCTGCAGCCCCAGGAGTGGCAGTGTCTGTGGCTGGGGCAGACTGGGCTGCAGCTGTGCTGGACTGCTCTGGCGCCCGGAGCCGTTTCATGAGAGTGGTCACTCGGACAGCTTTCTGAAGGGAGGGTAGTGAGAGAGGCTTAGAGTGAGGCTTAACAGAAGCTGAATCCATCCCTCAGCAAAGGCCAAACCCAGACCACCCCATAGTGCCCCTGGCTGCCTCTGGTCACCCAGGGCTGGGCACCCAGCTGCTCGGCACACCCACTGAAGTAAGCGGCTATAGCTACACTGCGGGTGGAGAGAAGCCTGTGTGTGATGCAGGCAAGAAGCTGTGGCTGCCAGAGGAACACTTGGGATCGTTCCAGGAAAGCGAGCCATCTATGCCTTACCTTCCACTTAGCCCTGGCAAAGTTCTTTTCAATCTGGGCACAGACACCATCCTTGATGTTCTTATCAGAGGCAGCATTGCCAGAAATCCTGAAAAGGGTACAAATGTGTCGGATCTTAAGTACGGCCTTCATGGAGACTCTGCCCAGCCCTTTTCCTTGTAAGATCCAGGGATTTCCAGGCAGACCTCCTGAGCTCTGGCTGCTCCCAAACCCCCACCCAAGGCCTCAGGACGGGGGCTTCGAGGCGTGAGAAGGACAGAGGCCCAGCCTCTCCCATCTTCCTTGGGCCCTGCTCACCACTCGTGGGAGATGGCCTCTTCTGCGGTGATCCGCTGGTCTTGCTCCACCTCCATCAGCCTTGTGACCAGGTCTTTGGCTGGGGACAAAGCCAGGGAGAGGCTAGGCATGGCACCCATCTCACTGTCTAGAGGTG